AAATGCTTCTGGAAAAATTAAACATACATATGGAAAAAAATAAAATTAGGGGTCTACTTTACACCAAACCCAAAAAATAATTTTAAGCGAATTGTATATCTGAATGTGAGAGGCAAGACAGTAAGGCGTCTAAAAGATACTATAGGGGAGTGTCTTTACAACTGTGGGGTAAGAAAAGATTTTTTAAAAATAGGATGCAAAAGTCCCTCAACAAAGAAAAATAGTAATAAATTTGACTGCTTTAAATGAGCTTCTTTTTTGACAAAAGATACTAGTAAGAAATAAACAGGCAAGCCACAGAATAGGAGATATTTAGTATATATTCTGATTGATTACAAATATGTTGAGTTCCAAAAACAGGAAAAACTAAACTAGAGTTTCAGAGATGATGCTTAGGTGGTAAAAATAGAAAAATATAAGCAAAGGCAAGGAAGCATGAGAGTTGTCAGATCAAGATGGAGTCACTTGTGTTAAAAAAAAAAACAAAACACAATGACAAATAGAGCCAGGAAAGGCCATGAAGGAAACATACTCCTGCACAAAAACCTGATGACAAGAACTATCACAATCTAGACCTTGCTCAAAGGCCACCATTATCTTACACACACACACACACACACACACACACACACACGCACACGCACAAAGTTGCGAGGACATCTGCCTAGCAACTGTCTGTCCAACTTCAGACTGGTGCTACCCTTGTTACTGATCCTTGTAGCCAAGGTTAATTATCCCAAAACAATTATGAAATCCTTCTCAGTTTTTCTTTTAAAATTTTTGTCTTCTTTTACCTCCCTGGACATGCACATAGTTTACTATGACACGTGTATTCCCATTGCAATGCCCTATTCCTGATTAAACATCATTCTCTTTTAGAGAGCGTCTGGTGATCTGTTTTCTGTCCCTATTTGGTTAGCTCTTCCAGAACGTCAAGTAAATGGAATGATTCAGGTTGTAGCTTTTTATATCTGGCTTCACTCACTAGCCTAATGCTTTTGAAATTCATCCATGTTGTTGCAAGCATCAACAATTCCTTCCTTTTCTTTCTAAATAGTACTTCACTTTATGGATAGATCATAATTTGATGGACTTGTAGGTTGTTTCCAGTTTTGGACAATTATGAATCAAGCTGCTATACATATTCACATACAAGCCTTTCAGGGGACATACATTTTCATGTTTTAGGGCAAATACCCAGGAGCCTTGGACAATTATGAATCAAGCTGCTATACATATTCACATACAAGCCTTTCAGGGGACATACACTTTCATGTTTTAGGGCAAATACCCAGAAGTGAGATTGCTGAGTTGCATGGTAAATATATATTTATCTTTATGAGAAAGTGATGAACTCTTCCAAAATGGGTGTATTCTGTCTGCTTTTATCCCATTGGTGGATCTGTTCTCTTGCTGTTGTCAGTAGGAAAGTTGTAGAAAGACCACTGACTCACTAATTCAGTGAGAAACTCAAATTATGAAATATTTGTAAAAAGATTTGCTGTTTTCGTTCTTTAAGTATCAACCACAACTCAAAGGATTGAGGTAGGAGTGCCGACCCTTTGGGGTGACCAACTCTACTGGTTTGCCAAGACTCTTCTGATTTAGCTCCGAAAGTACCACATCCTGGGAAGACCCTTTGTCCTGAGACCAAACTGGGACAGGTGTTCACCCTACTATTGAGTGTCAGGGGCTGTGCTGGGCACTGTATAACCATAGATCATTTTATCCACAGACCAGTGTCAAGGATAGGTTTGCTTGCACAAATTTTGCACACATTGAAACAGGCTTAGAGAGGTTAAGTTGCTTGTCCAAGCCCAGAGTAGGTGGAGCCAAACTCTGGCACCAGGTCTGCCAGACTCTAAAGCACTGGTGTCTTCTTCCGGGTGGGGACAGATATTGCTCCCTAGGTGCCCAGTTGTGGGTCTCAGGGAAGGTGGATTAAGGCACTCAGTGGCTGGACTTGGGGGCCTGGCAGGCCTGGGTGGGGCTTTGCTGCCCTCTGGTGGCAGATGGGATGGCACTTGGGGTCTAGGTCCTCTCTTGTGGGGCACCCCCTGGTGAGGGAAATGTGCCCTTTCAGGCCAGAGAGCAGGACCTCAAATCTAGCCACAGTCCTAGGATGGTGCCACATGAATGTCCCCACCAGGGTCTGCTGCGGGCTTTATCCCACCCATCCATGAGCCACATAATCACTTAGACACTCACAGACACAGCCAGAATTCTGGGTTTGAGTCTGTGTGACCCTGAGCCACTCACTTTCCCTTCTGGGTTTCAGTTCCTTCTTGTAAAAAATCAGGATGATAAATATGTCAACAGCCTGGACCAGCCTTAGACACTGTGGTAGTTATTACCAGCTCCTTCACAGCCACATGCCTCAACTCTCTCCCGCCTTTGTGCATCCATTCGCTTTATTTATTCACTCAACTTCCATCCAGCAGCTGTCAGCCAAGCACCAGCTCTGTGCCAAACCCTGAGCTGGGGGTGCCAGGGAGACCTCTGCCAACCAGACAGACAATACCCCTGCCCTCCTGGCTCTGTAACTCTCTGCTAATCCTCTGTTTCATGTGTTCATTCATTCACTGAGTGTCCATTTATTACTTGAATGTTAATTCATTTTTTCTCGTACTCACTTAACTTCCTTATTCATTCATTCATGTCATTTGGTCATCTCATTGACATATTCATTCCCTCTTCATTTTTTTTTTATTTTTTATTTTTTTAAAAGATGACTGGTAAGGGGATCTTAACCCTTGACTTGGTGTTGTCAGCACCACGCTCTCCCAAGTGAGCCAACCGGCCATCCCTATATAGGGATGGCCGGTTGGCTCACTTGGGAGAGTGTGGTGGTGATAACACCAAGGCCATGAGTTTGGATCCCTAAAAAGAAAAGAAAGGAAGGCTCACTTGGGAGAGTGTGGTGGTGATAACACCAAGGCCATGAGTTTGGATCCCTAAAAAGAAAAGAAAGGAAGGCTCACTTGGGAGAGTGTGGTGGTGATAACACCAAGGCCATGAGTTTGGATCCCTAAAAAGAAAAGAAAGGAAGGCTCACTTGGGAGAGTGTGGTGGTGATAACACCAAGGCCATGAGTTTGGATCCCTAAAAAGAAAAGAAAGGAAGGCTCACTTGGGAGAGTGTGGTGGTGATAACACCAAGGCCATGAGTTTGGATCCCTATATAGGGATCCAAACTCATGGCCTTGGTGTTATCAGCACCACACTCTCCCAAGTGAGCCACGAGCCGGCCCTACACTCTTCATTTTTAAAACAATTTTATTCTTCTGTTCCCCAAGCATTCTAGAAGCACCCATTCTGGAGATTACATGCTGGGATCTGGCCCAGCCCTCCCCTCAGGCTTATGGGGAGGCAGATCATGAGGACACGCTGTGGTAACTACCACACCAGCCATGAGGACCCAGAGGAGGAGAACCAAGAAGGGAGCAATTTACTGCCTGAAGGTGGGTAAGAAATCAGAGAAGGCTTCAAGGAGGAGATAGCATTTAGGCCAAGTTAAGTAGGCTGCGTGGGTGTTTTCCAGGGAGGCAAAGACACTCCAGTAAAGTCTTTGTTTTGTAGAATGTTTGGAGAATAGTGAGGTACGAGGTCGATAGGGTCTGTGATGTCTGGTGTTTGTGAGCATGACCCCACCTCGGCCAAGCCCCCTCCCCAGGTTTCAGTAACAGACCTGGGCCACTCAAGAACTTCTCCTAATTCCTCACCCTCAGCCCCTGGAAAAACCACCAACTATCAGGCAGCCTGGAATGGCCTGAGGAAAACTAACACCATCCAGTATCCTCCAGTTGTCCACCTGTCTGTTCTCCCGGTGTCTCAGTGAGAGAGCTGTCCTGGGCTGAGCAGGCAGTACAGCATCTCAGGTGCCTGTCCCCGAGATCCCATGTTCATCCAGCAAATCTTTGAGTGCCCTTTGGTGGGCCAGGCCTTGTCTCAGATGCCAGAATATATAGCCAGGAACAAGACAAAGCTACTCTCCGGGGGATGACAGATGACAAACAAGAAAACCAACAACTGTGAAAATCAACAGGAACACAACTGTAGTTGGACAAATTAGGCTTATTGCTTGTTGCAAGAAGGAAGACTGCACTTACTTTAGTCATAGGGTGTTGAAAAGGCTTATTATGGGATTTGGACGTATGTGATTCAGGGGAGGATTCAAGTAAGTGTGCTTTTACTCTGGATTAGGTGCTGTCGGGAAGTGACTCTACGATTAGATATCTTAATAAATATTTGTATAAGGGTTCTCCAGAGAAACAGAACCAATAGGATGTATTTATTATATGGAATTGGCTCATGTGATTATGGAGGTCCATAAGTCCCAAGATCTGCCGGGTGACTTGCTCCATCACGGTCCACTGTCACAGAATAGTCTTGTGTGATGCTGGTGTTCTGTGACATCATTTACATTCAACAGAAGTACACTAAGGCCTAGCTGTAAGCGCCTGTCAGTTCCCAGATGTGAAGGCTTTTCTCTTTCTCCTTAGAAAGGTTTCTTGACTTGCAGAGGTATATTTGCTGGAGTCAGGTACAGAGAAATTCCAGAGGGACAAAGGAGATACGGCCCCAGCCATCATGGAGCTCGGTAACATGTTTGCTCTTATATAAACTGAAGATTGTCAGAAATGGGGGGATGGGGAGGACCAGACCCAAGGAACCGCCAGGACAAAACCTGGAGAGGAGAGCGGGGCGGGAGGAGGTGCTGAGAGCCACCGGAGGCTGCGCGGTGGCACGACCACGCACACGGGGACAGGACAGGTCGCCACTCAGCACGGAGGGCCACCTCTCCCCCAGGGACGTGGGCGTCCGGCACCACTGATTTTTTTCAGAAGCAGGAAATGAAATCAAGCAGCTTTGATCAAAACAACCCACGCCGGCGTCAGGCTCGTGAATATTCAGCAGGCTGCTTCCGGTTTGCGACTCCGCCCCAGCCCCCCTCCCTGCTCGGAGACTACGCGTGCGTCGCTGGCGCGCGACTCTGTCGTCATACACGCGCGCCGCCCACGCCGCTCCCGGAGGCAGCAGGCAGGCTGTCATGGCGAGCTCAGCCGCCTCGTCGGTGAGACCGCCAAGACCCAAGAAAGAGCCTCAGGCGCTCGTCATCCCCAAGAATGCGGCGGAGGAGCAGAAGCTTAAGCTGGAGCGGCTCATGAAGAACCCGGTGAGAGAAGGCTTGGGCTCCACGGCCCGTCCGAGGCCCACCCTCTTCTGCGCCGGTGCCTCTGGGGGCCCGCGGGCCCAGATTCCCCACAGCCAAACTCTACAATTCCGTACCCGACCCCCTAGCGCAGTCCTTGGGGAGGAATAGGCTGCCCCAGAGATAGTGGGCTCCCTGTCTGTCCTTGTGTTAGTGCCCAGCCCGTCCGAGGCCCACCCTCTTCTGCGCCGGCGCCTCTGGGGGCCCGCGGGCCCAGCTTCCCCACAGCCAAACTCTACAATTCCGTACCTGACCCCCTAGAGCAGTCCTTGGGGAGAAATAGGCTGCACCAGAGATAGTGGGCTTCCTGTCTGTCCTTGTGTTAGTGCTAGTGCCCAACCTGGATGAAGGGGCTGTGGAGCGGCTTCCCGTGCTGTAAGACCCTTCCCAGTTTAAGTTTCTGTGAACAAACGCTTTAGACGGAAAAAGTAGAATCTGTGGATTAGCAGAAGGTTTATTTCTACTAAATAGCACCGATTAGAGAGGCATTGGCCGAGACACTTGGAGCAAATCACTCCTCCCCTCCTCCCGCCCCGCCTCGTTCGTGCTTGGGTATCCTCAATCATAAAAACAATTGAATTAGAAGGTGTCTTATACCTTTACTAGAAACGGTCGACTCTCTTCCTCTCGTAGTATTAAAGTTAGAGGTTTCTAGCCATTAACGGTGATTTAGATTTCTGAGTTCTGCTCTCTGAACTGAGAGAGGATGTGGCTAGCCCTGAGAAGGATGTGGCTATATTATACCCCAGCGTATACAGGGTGAAGTAAAGCCAAGACAGAGGGAAGAACATAAAATCAGCTCTGGGTCCAAGGAACAAAGCAGCCCTACTTCACTAGTGCAATTAAAATCCTTTGGTTATTAGAGATGTAATTTGTCAGCAGGTTTATACTTACACGTGCTTTCATGTTTTATGTTACAGGACAAAACAGTTCCAATTCCAGAAAAAATGAGTGAATGGGCACCTAGACCTCCTCCAGAATTTGTCCGAGATGTAATGGGTAATGTCTTTTGTGTATGTGTGAGTGTAAATATAATTTTTAAAGGTAGATATAAAAACTTGGCAGTTAATATTTGTTAGTTAGATCTCTGTTTAGGAAAAAAACATCAGTCCAGTATTTTGCTCTTGTAATGAAGGGGTACAGTTGCTTATGGTCTGACACTAGAGAATTTTCTTCAGCATTATTATTAATAGTGGTCTGTATTTTTTTCTAAATGGAAATAGTTTTATTATTTTGTTGGATTATAAATTAACATATGCTAATTGTGAATAAAAACAAGTAATAGAGTTATAAAAAGAACCACCTGTTATTCCATTATTCCACTTGTAACATTCTGATATAGCCTTTCTTTTTTTTTATATTTTAAAAGATGACCGGTAAGGGGATCTTAACCCTTGACTTGGTGTTGTCAGCACCATGCTCACCCAATGAGCTAACCGGCCATCCCTATATGGGATCCGAACCCGGGGCCTTGGTGTTATCAGCACCACACTCTCCCGAGTGAGCCACAGGCCGGCCCCTGATAAAGCCTTTCAAACCTCTTTATAGTCAAAACCACTCGTTTAAGAAAATATTTTTACAAAAATATGATTGTTCTACACATATTATTTTGTAAACCTCTTCTTTTCACCTAATATAGCATGGACATCTTTTCAACTCACTAGAAATCTAGCATGTCAAATGTGAACTCATGGAGGAGGCAGGGAAGGTTACAGACTCTCTTCTAGATTTGTGCTCCGAACAACAGTCTGCTCCTCCTTTTAATACTGCATGAGAGTGGAATTTTAGTGACTTCAGATTCAACATTAATGCAACAAATAATTTAATGAGGCATACAATATGCCAGGCACTGTGCTAGTTCAGGGGGCACAACAGGGAAAGAGGCAGGCATGGTCCCCCTTCCATACTTCCAGTTTCTTTCTTTAGTCCCTTTTGGTTAAGGGTAGCCTGTGTTGGAGACTGGATTTCATCTAGAACTCTGGACTGTTCTGGCTATAGGTTCAAGTGCTGGGGCCGGCAGTGGAGAGTTCCATGTGTACAGGCATCTGCGCCGGAGAGAATACCAACGACAGGACTACATGGATGCCATGGCTGAAAAGGTCAGTGAGCAAGGAGGCTGGCTGAGCCCTCATATTTGGACAATGTGCATTGAAAGCCTTTAGAAAAAAGCTTTTTTTTCTACAAAGAGTAGATACAGCTGATTGTAGCTTGTGTGAGATCTGCCTTCCATAGCATGGAAAGCAGAGTCCAGATGATACCTAGGTCAGACTCAACACATCAAGGTGCTAAATGAGGGCTCACAGAAGAATGAGGGGCTGTCGTCTTCCTTGTGAATGGAAGGACACAGCAGAGTCCCCTCTAAGTCTTCTGCCACGTAAAGGTACAAAAAGCAGATCTCCCACACCACTTGCGTTGTTACTACTCTGTTGTCCTGTCTTTGGCTGAGTGCCTAAATGCAGTTAGTGTTTGGTGTGAATAGTGTGCTTTCAGTTGTCTGCTTTTTTGAGGATTTAGGTTCTTTAGCTTTGGGGGTGGCAGTTCTTCATAACAGCTATCAAATAATAATTGATTATTTTAAGAGCTTGAGAATTGCTTTAAAAATTGTAGTTTAAGAACTGTTAAGCTTTCTATTACTTGGCTTGAGGGGCCAGAAACATCTTTCCTGAAGCTCTTAAAAAAATACTCCTTGGAACATTTCACTCATTTTATTTTTCTAATTGAATTTGGGCGTTATTTAATCCCCACCAAAAATCTTGTTTGATTTTTGACTGGAATTGAGTTGAATCTCTAACTTTACTTGAATGAGAATGGATGTTCATTTGTTTAAATAATTTTGTGTCGCTTGATGATTTGTAGAGATTTTGCATATCATTCCATTTATTCAAAGGTATTTTAAGTCTTCTGATTGCATTGAAAGTGCACAAAAAAGAGCTGGCTGGTTAGCTCACTTGGTAGGCCATGATGCTGATAACACTAAGGTCAAGAGTTGGGGTCCTGAATGTACCAGCGAGCTGCCAAAAACAACAACAAACAAACAAAAAGAAAAGTCCTCCTTAGTATGGCCACGATGCCTGTTATTTCATAGAGCACGTTTGTGCACTTTAGATTCAGTTACTTTAAATTGATATTCATTTATATGCTTTTTATGAGTGAGAAAGCCACTTTACCCAACAGCATTTGGCTTTCCAATAATTTGGTAAAAACAAAGTCCGATTCTAGAGAATTTCTTCCTATATAAAGGAGACCAAAAAAACTTTAAAAAATTAAAACAAACAACATTCACAAAATAGAATACTTAGCAATAAAAAGAAACAAACTACTGATATGTGCGACAGCTTAGATGATTCTTTCTTTCTTTCTTCCTTCCTTCCTTTCATTCATTTATTTTGGTGGCTGGCCGGTATGGGGATCTGAACCCGTGGCCTTGGTGTTATACCACTGTGCTCTAACCAACTAAGCTAATCAGTCAGCCCTGATTCTTTACAACATGCTGAGTGAAAGAAGCCTTACACAAAAGAGACCATATTGTATGATTCCATTTATATGAAGTTCTACAACAAGTAAAACTAATCTGTGTGAGAAGAAATCAGATCAATAGTTGTCTCTGATGGGTAGGATCAGGGATTGACTGAGAAGAGGTATGAGGCAACTTTCTGGGGTGATCAAACTATGCATTCTAGATCTGGGCATTTTGTTCTGTGTAGGTATTACCTTACAAGGGGAAGAAAAAGAACTGTAAACAAATATAGTTGACCCTTGGACAACATGGGTTTGATATGCATAGCTGTACTTATATGTGGATTTTTAAAAATTAATGTATTGGAAATATACATGACATACCTAACCAGTTAAGTAGCCTACCTATAACAGTAAGCTATTAGTTGCCTATTAGCAGTTAAGTAGTTAAGTACTTAACCATTACTTAAGTAGTAAAGTTTTGGGGGAGCCAAAAGTTATACATAGAGCCCACCTGCTCCCTGGCTTCTTGGGGCTGCCCGACAAGTCCAGGATGGGACAAGCCCTGCTTCCCTGCTGCCCCCTTCCTGAGCCAGAGTCCTACCCAGGCTGTTCTGTGCTTTGACTGAGGGCTCAGGACATGACCTCCTCCATGGGTCCAACACCCCAGAAACAGGCAACCCTGACAGCCCACTGACCCCCAACCCCACAGCCACCCCTTAGAGTCAACTTCAAGGAGATCAGAGGCTACAGACCTTATTCCCAGTGATCCACTGAAGCTTCAGTTAGTAAACCCAAGGAGTTGAGATGCTGGAGGACAAAGAGTGCCACCCCCAAACCCACATCCTTCACTCTCAGCCCAGGCATCCTCTCCCACCCTCCCCATTTCTTCTCCTGCTCTGCCTCAGTTCTAGGCACCTTGCCTCCACCGATCCCACAAAGCTCAATAAATACCAAGATGGCGTGGTCCACGCCATGGCAAGACCCTAAAGGAGTCAGCTTGGGCTGCCCTCTCCGAGCTGGCAGGGCCGCTGGAGGGAGAGCTGCAGGCAAGGCCGCAGCTACGAGCACTTGCTGCAACCAGAAGGGCTGCCTGCCTCGGCTTTGTGGCTTTTGCCTTCTCTTTCGATATTTTGGTTAGCGTGGCAGTTCTCTGAATTCCCAAAAGATTATAAAAATAACACAAATGACTTTGCAGTCATTGAACTAAACATTCCCACAGAGGATCCTAGTAAATTGGACAATTCAAAATTATCCCCTTATGATAAATTGACCACATCAACATATGTTCCAAAAGCACTGCTCATGACTAAATATGAGCTGCAGCCTAACGTAAGTTGGCGAACATCATTTACTGGAGGTTATGTTAATGGCAAGAGAATTTTAACATTTAGATCAAGATTATAGGGCCACAGTGAATACATAACCTCAAGATGTACATGATAATGCTGCTCAAATATCCACTGTTCTTTTTCCATATGAACAGTAGGTTCATTCCATTAGAACATAAAATCAATACACCCCCATTAGAATTTAAATGTTAACATTGTTCCTTCTAGCAAATTTGTACTTACATTTAGCAATAGACTTAGGTCATATGATAGTACTGTCTATCACTTTGTAACTGCAATAGTCCCACCCTGTTAATAGGGTAGATATTAACCACAGCTTGCCAACTGGAAAAGGTCACAGGTTAACTTCAGGACAATGAGAACATGGTCCCAATCTGATAACCTGATACCAAAAGGAGGAAGCATGAGCTTATCACCTGAGACGTGCTAATGAAGGAAAAAAACTGGCTTCCCCTGTCCTTTTTGAATTATTAAGCTTGCCGATGTAATAAAAAATAGTAGCCAAAAAACCCCTGCAGAGAAAAATCTAAATAAAAGGCATTGTCTCATGCTCTACTGTGCTCCAGCTGCAACACGCTGACAGCCCGCAGAGAGAGAACATGCATACTGATGCACTGAGGTCTCTGTCTGTGTTTTTTATTTTCGTCAGCTTTCTCATCCCTCTTTCAAGGACCTGCAAACTCGACTGGAGCTGGTCTCCAGCACCAAGAGATCTGCCCAAGAAAAGAAAAGTTGTAGGCAGAATTTCAACTGCGTAGGGCCACCCTGTGGCTCACTCGGGAGAGTGAGGTGCTGATAACACCAAGGCCACAGGTTCGGATCCTATATAGGGATGGCCGGTTAGTTCACTGGCTGAGTGTGGTGCTGACAACACCAAGTCAAGGGTTAAGATTCCCTTACTGGTCATCTTTTTAAAAAAAAGAATTTCAACTGCGTGGGGCACCTCTATCCCCCAAGTTGTTCAAGAATTATCTGTATTAAGCCCTGTTTAATGATATGCATATTTAAATGTTTAGGGGTGGAATGTCCTGATGTCTGTTTGAAATGTGCCAAAAATATAAGATGGACTGATGGATGAACAGAGGCATAGATAGATATGGGATAAAGAAAGCATAGCCAAATAATAATTATAAATTCAAGGTAGTGTACGTACTATATAATTTTTTTAATTTTTCTGTTTGAAATTTTCAAAATAAAACATTAAAGAAAATACTAAGGGCCGGCCCCGTGGCTCACTTGAGAGAGTGCGGCGCTGGTAGCGCCGAGGCTGCGGGTTCGGATCCTATATAGGGATGGCCGGTTAGTTCACTGGCTGAGTGTGGTGCTGACAACACCAAGTCAAGGGTTAAGATTCCCTTACTGGTCATCTTTTTAAAAAAAAGAATTTCAACTGCGTGGGGCACCTCTATCCCCCAAGTTGTTCAAGAATTATCTGTATTAAGCCCTGTTTAATGATATGCATATTTAAATGTTTAGGGGTGGAATGTCCTGATGTCTGTTTGAAATGTGCCAAAAATATAAGATGGACTGATGGATGAACAGAGGCATAGATAGATATGGGATAAAGAAAGCATAGCCAAATAATAATTATAAATTCAAGGTAGTGTACGTACTATATAATTTTTTTAATTTTTCTGTTTGAAATTTTCAAAATAAAACATTAAAGAAAATACTAAGGGCCGGCCCCGTGGCTCACTTGGGAGAGTGCGGCGCTGGTAGCGCCGAGGCTGCGGGTTCGGATCCTATATAGGGATGGCCGGTTAGTTCACTGGCTGAGTGTGGTGCAGATGACACCAAGCCAAGGGTTACAATCCCCTTACCGGTCAAAAAAAGAAAATACTAAGCCAGAGAGACAGCCAGGAAACAAAAAATTATGCAAGAATTTATTGGTATGGCCAAAATTGAGTTAGTAAAAAATACTTTTGATTTTTTTGCTCTGGTAGTATTGACCTAGTATTTGCTTGTCTTGCAGCTTTTCTTGGTCCCTAAATATTGATTGTTCTCCAGCTACTGCCATCTTCTGGTGGTGACATTCTCAATCCTAGTGGGAAGTTTTAGATGGCCAGTCAACAGCTGTACCAGGTCACAGCATTATGTTTGCCACTGTCAGAAATAATGCTGTGTGGATAGAAACTATCAGACACTTATTTTTAAACTACTTTAGGGGGAAGAAATAGAGCAGGTTGTTATCTCAGATACCATAAATCAGTATGAACTTTTTATGTATTGATTATAGATCCAGAGAAAACACAGAAAAATGTTTCTCAAAACTTGACATCCATACAAATACAAATATTTTTATTTTATATGGCAAAAGACAGGCAGAGCCTTTTTTTTTTTTTAAATGTAAGAGGTGAAAGAATCTTTGTCCCTTTCCAGTGACTGATAGGCTGTCACCACCTACAGAGTGTGATCTGACTTGCTCCTGCTGAGATCTTGGCCCCGCCAGATGCAGCAGGCAGCTGGGGCTCTCTTTAGTTCATTTGCTGATACACTTAGCTTCTTCAGCAGCACAGAATAAGACATTTACAGCTCAACTTCTAAATAAACCAGGTGCTTTCAGACTTCAGTTGTTTTCTTTCTACTTGTCCTCTAATTAAAGCTGATTTCCTTCTTGAAGGGATATTTTCTGTTCTCCAAGAGAGGGCTTCTGTTGTTTGGTTTCTGCATCACTCTGGGCAGATCAGTGTAGCACTGGCAGTGCAGATCAGCAGAGGTGTTGAAGGTACCTCTCCCTCTTTGCTGGCTATGACTGGAAGAAATGAGAGATAATCAGTAGATGTCTTTGTATATACTTTACAGCTGCTTTTTTGGAGGCTCTCATTTTAATATTCTTTCTAACAGCTCCAGGAAGGAGGCATTATAAATTTTTCCATTTTATAGATGAAGAAACTGAGACTTGGAAACAGAACTGCTGGGAAGAAATAATACAATACATACATAATACGTGGGAGGCAGGTATTTAGTAGCAGGTGATGGCAGCAGACAGTATTTGTTATGCTGCTTTAGAATCAGTCATTAGATAACTGTAGGTGGGTTAGGACTTGAAAATTCCACAGTTTTGACCCTCTGGCCATTCCATCTGATAAGCTTCAATCAGTGACTTAGGCCCTGACTCAACGGACAATCAGCTGCCTCTGCCCTCAAGGTGTACTCTGTGCGCTCCCTCTCACATTTTCTCTTATATTTTGTCACACGTGAGTGGTATCTCAATGAACTGAAAGAGTTACTTCACCATTAGAGAGCCATATTTTGATTACCTGCCCTACCTGTGGGGCAACCTTGTAAAGTTCAAGTGGCCCTGGGGACCTGGATGGTGTCCATAGCATCCCCAGTTTTTGTGACTTCTAGAACTTTCATAGCCAGCCAAAGTGAAAGCTCCTACAGTCTCCCCAGACCAGAGTGTGTCTAAATGATGTGGGGTTTTTTGCAGCAAAAATTGGATGCAGAGTTTCAAAAGAGACTGGAAAAGAATAAAATCGCTGCAGAGGAGCAGACTGCAAAGCGTCGGAAAAAGCGGTAAGAGCACCATGGCATCCTATAACTGTAATGAGACTGAAGTGCAGGAATGTGAAAGTGGATGGTTGATGAATGAGCCAAGTCCTTGCAGTCAAAAGTTCACCTGTATGACCTGTAGAGGTTGTGGGTGTTAACAACCTATGGTGGAGAGCCCAGCAAAGGATGACTTTTCTTCCAATAGGTACCTGAGAAAGAGGGCAAGTCCCTTACAGCAAGTTTGTAACAAGCTACCCCCAGCTTGTTGTAGATTCTCTAGAACTTAGCAGTTAGGACTTTGATCACATGCATTTCTGTGTCCCCTTCCTCCTGTTTTGTTTGTTTTTTTGGCAGCTGGCTGATATAGGAATCCAAACCCTTGACCTTGGTGTTATAACACCTTGCTGTAACCAACAGAGCTAACCAGCTAGCCCCCTCTTGTATTTTATTTATCTATCTATTTAGTTAGTTAGTTATTCTGGCAGCTGGGCCAGTGTGGGGATCTGAACCCTTGAAAAAGTTAACACCCATTTCCTCTTTATTTTTTCTGATGGCTAGCCAGTATGGGAATCTGAACCTGTGACCTTGATGTTATCGGCACCATGCTCTTCTAAGTGAGCTAATTGTTATTTTAAACCTGTATTTTAATATTAGGTTTAACAAAGTGCTGTAACCAAACCTGCCATTTTAGCTTGCTCCTTAAATTAGGGCCTATGACCTCCCCAAGTGACTACCTGGTTATAGAGGCTGTGTGTGCACGTGTGTTTTAAATAAATGTCCCTCAACTTTTAGAGTTGAGCAGAATTCTCAAAACAGTCCCTATATATGAAAAAGCATCTCCAGTATTTCTGAGATTGCTTTAATCACCTCCGGACTCCCCTGGATTTGATCTTGATTCATAATGAAAACAACCTGGTAGTGTTGATAATGTTGGCGTGACAAAATCATGAGAAAGTGTTTCTTTTATTTCGATATTGTAATGTTTGCATTGTTATAAAGTTTTTAAAGATGTCATAAGTAGGTGTTTACTTGTATTTTCTAAAATACATAATAAGGTAGTTAAGGGATCCATGTATGTGTTTTACATTTGTAGCCAGAAGTTAAAAGAGAAGAAATTGTTAGCAAAGAAGATGAAACTTGAACAGAAGAAACAAAAAGAAGGTGAGTGGTGCCTGCTTTTCTTGGTCGTAGCCTTTCTCTCAGTGTTGAACATAATGGCTGGACTATCAAGAAACACTGAGATTTAGAATTTGGGGCTGGTTGGCTGGCCATTGAAGAAATGACACCATGTTTATATAAGTTAGGACTTGTTTAATTGCAAGTGTCAAAAAGCCAAACTGGCTTAAGCAAAAAAAAAAAAAAAAAAAAGATACTGGCTCACATTAATTCAAGGTCAGACTTCCCTTTAGGTATGGCTGGTAAGGGAGCCTAATGACATTACTGGTTATTGATGTTGTCTCCCCCTCCGTCCCCTGGCCTCCAGTTTTCAGGCAGGCTCACATCCCCCTTTCGGTTGCAAGGTGTCTGAAGCTGCTCTGGAGTCTGCATCCTGCCACATTCTTGTCCAGGAGTAAAGATTGAGGGGATGTGCCAGTGTTCTTAGCAAGTCTTTTGTGTTTCTTTGGATCTGATCGAATCACTTGCCAAGTCAGTTAAGAATGCTTTGGCTGCAAGAAATAGAAAATTCAGTGAACAGTGCTTAGACAAGAGGAGTTTGGTTTTTTTACCTGACAAGAAATGTGGTGGTAGGTGGCAGCGTGGTGTGATTCAGACCTCAGCAGTGTCACGCCCAGCGCTCCTGCAGTTCTTTTGGCCTTTACCCTGAGAGTGGGAGATGGCTGCCTCAACTCCTGGCATCATACCTGTATTCAAAGCACGAAGAATGGGGAGGGAGGTGGTACTTGTCTGGTCTGTCCTTTTTTAACTGGAGAGCAAAAAGCCCCCCAGAAGTGCCCAGCAGACGTCACCTTATATACTAGGTCACTTTGCCATCCCTAGCTGCCATCAGCCTAGATGAATAGAAAACAGATCATCATCACTAACTTTAACCTATTGTGATCCAAGGCTGGCCAGCTAGCTCAGCTGGTTAGAGTGTGATGTTGTGACACCAAGGTCAAGGATTCGGATCTCCATACCGGCCAGCCCCCACCCCTCACCCCCCACAAAAAAGACATATCGTGCTTTGTTTCTGGGTTCATTGCTGCCCTAGACAGAATTGAGGTTCTGTTAATAAGAATTGGGGGGTTGGATCTTGGTCAGCATCCCACCATGCTGCCAGTCCTGCCTGCCTCTGAACCCCTTACAAGGCTAGGGGTGTCATCCTCATGAGCTCATAGGCTGAGAATAAGGGAGGGAGGAGCCCCCAGCTGGAAAGGGCCAGTGATGCTAAGAGACCAAAAATGATGACTGTCCACCACACTACTGAATCAATGGCTATTTTCTGATTGACTAAGGCTGGGTTCCTGAGTGGTCAGTTGTGGTTTTTGGTCTTAGGGTAAGGTCTGACTTTCACCGGCATATTGAAATATGATTGGCCCCTTCTAGGACCAGCTTCCTTATGAGTTGTAAATGTACTATGTGACACATGGTATATGGTTTTAGGCTGTTCTTCACCCTTTGCTAGAAGAAATTATTTTAAACTGCTAAAATGTGACTGCTAGGACCTCAACCCTCAAATAAACCATCTCATCACTTTTCATGCCCACCCCCTCCCCAGGAGAACATGGACGTACTTGGCCCAAGTGAAAGAATTGGGCATAAAAATGAGTGTCACTTTCCATTGAGGGACTATTGTAGCTTGGACCCGTGATACTAGGATGTTAGGAAATAGAAAGGTCTGCTTGGCTCTGGGTAATTTGACCCGCACTCCTCAGAGACTGTTGTTTTTGCTGCCTATAGTTTTCATTGTTGCTGTGTGTGTGTTGAGTGACTTTCCTGGACTCATTCTGTTAAGTCTGTATTCTTTGCTATGTATGGCCACTGAGTCTCTGCTTGGCTAGCTTAGTTAGTGGTCAACTGAAGATTAGAGACTTCCTTAAATGCCTTGAACCAGTAAGTCTTCCAGTCCTTGCCAAGGAGTTCTGTGTGTATATATGTTGGAGCAGCCCTTCAACACCCTAGCAGGCAATTTATAGTTTGCCTTGGCCTTTGCTTCCACCTTACACGGAGACTCAGGACAGCAGAGGTGAGAAATTAGGGCTTTTGCAAGTCTTTCTTGGCCATGTCCACAACTTTGCATGTACATGTGGCCTTCTAGAGTCCCAGCTTTTCCTCTGAAGCTTTTTGGTCAGTTTGTTGTTTGCTTTAACTATTTGCTGCCTTGGGCAGCCGAAATGTTAAACAGTTGCCACTGATTGTTTCTGACAAACACCCTGGGGGAAAAGTTGTTCATGCTTAGTGAACTCTGAGTCAGGTCAACTGAAGACAAGCCTTGTGAGGGGAAGTTTCCAGGGAGCTACCAGACAGGTCACATATGGACACTGCTCTGAGGAGGGAACATGGGAGGAGCTCCCACCCCACTGTGCCTCCTCCAGTGGCTCTGGTTTTCACAGATACCGTGGTCGTGAGGCTCTCAGTCTTCAGGGCTATCTCAGAGGCGGGGAGAGGGAGAAGGGAATAGGCAAGTTAAAACGCCACAGAGCATACTGTTCTAATCACTGAGGTTCAGGCATTTTTCTTGAACAATCCAAGGAGCATTTCCAGAGTTCTGGAAAAGTTTGTTTTGCCGGTGTTCTTGTTGCTTTTATGGAGGAGCACATTTTTAGAGGTCCTTCCTCTGCCATTTCAGAAATGGTTCCATCACTTTAAATTTTAACCTACCTATATCATTACATTTGAAGAATGTCTCCTGTGCATCAAATATTTGGGTCATGTTTTTTAATTCATTCTAAAAGTCTCTGTCTTTTTATTGATATATTTGGATTTAGGGCTATCATTTTATTTGTTTTTTTGTTCTCTCCTTTTTTGTTGTTTCTGTTTCCCCTTTCCTGCCTTATTTGGATTTTTTGAACATTTCTTATCATTGCATTTTCATTTATCTATCACGTTTTCAACTGTATCCCTTATTGGTCTTGAGGTTACTATGCACATACTACTTTCACAGTCTACTTAGAAGCAGGGTGTCACCACTGGAACGTAGAAGCTTTCTACCACATAAGTTCCTTTACCCTTGATATTATAGTTGTCTTATGTACTACATCTACGTATATTGACACTTCATCAGATAATGCTATTATTTTTGTTTTCAAGCATCAGATGTATTTCAGAGATATCGAGGAGAATGGTCTAGAATATTAACCAAATATTTACTGTTTCTGCTCTTTCTGTTGTTCTTCTCCGTTCCCAGTGTTCCAAGCTTCCCTCTAGTATCATTTCCCTGATGTCTGAAGAACTTCCTTTAGTCATTCATTTAGAACAGATCTGCTAGCTATGAATTTTCTTAGCTTTTCTTCCCATGAGGTTATCTTTATTTCACTTTTGTTCCTAAAGGGCATTTTCACTGGATATAGAATTCTGGGTTGCCAGTTCCTTTCTTTTAGCACTTCAGAAATGTTCTTCTGCTTCCTTCTGGTCTCCAGGGTGTCTGATGAGAAATCCGTAGTGATTTGAATTGTTCTGTCATTGTTTTTGTCTGGCTGCTTTCAAGATTTCTGTGTTTTTAGATTGCACCAGTTTGATTATGATGTGTCTGTGCATGAATTTCCTTGAATTTATCCTGTTTGGAGTTTACTGAGCTTCTTGAATCTGTAAGCATATGCATTTTGTCAAATTTGATAATATTTTTTCCAGTCTTTTTGTCTCTGTTGTTCATATTGGATAATTCCTATTGATCTTACTTCAAGCCATCTCTTTCCCATGTCATCTCCATTCTGCTATTGATCCACCCAGTGAATTTATTTATTTTTTATTTATTTATTTTGCACTGGCCAGTACTGGGATCTGAACCGCTGATTGAGCTATCCAGCCAGCCCTTATCCAGTGAATAGTAATAGTTTTTTATTTCAATTATTGTGTTTTTAAAAAAGTTTTAAAATTTCCATTCTATACTCCTTTGTACCTTCTTTTTCTTTGATGCAGTTTTCTATCTTTCCGTTCATTTCAAGAGTGTTCACCCTCACTTCCTGGAAAAATTCTTAAATAGCTGCTTTAAAGTGTTTGATAATTCCAGCATCTGGATCATCTCAGCATTGGCATTTGTGGTTTGTCTTTTCCCATGCAAGTTGAGATTTTCCCGGTTCTTTATATACCAAGTAATTTTCTTTTGTATCCTGGACATTTTAAGTATTGTGTCATGAGGCTTTGGGTCTTGGTGATATTTGTTCCAGTGGGCAATCAACCTTTATGTTCAGAGCACAGGTTCTGTCTGACCAGCCCTCTGTGGGTTGTGGTTCCAATGTCAGATCAGTTTTCAAAGCATTTGCTGTGCTCTCCAGGTGTGTCCTGCATGTGCCACCCAGTGGCCAGTCTGGGTGTAGTTCTTTGAGTTCAGTTCTCAAAGTGTTTGACATGATGATTAGGGCCAGATCCATGCCTGTGCTGTCAGGCTGAGCCCAGAAGTTCATAAAGAACCTCATGGTGTCTTTTCCAATCTCCTCCCTCTCCATTATCTCCCCTGTACTTTCTGGTTTCCTGAGGCTCCCCTTTTCAGACCTTCCTCCAGAAAGCTGGGGCTTTAGTTACCCACTCTGCTGCATACTTCTTGCAGCTGCCCCTGCATCTGGGGTCCAGCAGTAGGAGGACAGAGAGAAGAAAACCAACAGGCTTTGCCCAAGTCTCTGAGACCACAGTGCCTCTGATTGGAAAGAAAGGTTCCTCACCTTCGAAGTTGTAGGCACTTGCAAGCCCCCACTGCCACCCCAGTCGCTGCTGCCACCGTGACCCCAGTGGGATTGCCTGGGAGCTAAGGTATGAGAGAATGGAGAAAAGAAGGGAAACCTCACCTTCGAAGTTGTAGGCACTTGCAAGCCCCCACTGCCACCCCAGTCGCTGCTGCCACCATGACCCCAGTGGGATTGCCTGGGAGCTAAGGTATGAGAGAATGGAGAAAAGAAGGGAAAAGAGCTAAGGTATGAGAGAATGGAGAAAAGAAGGGAAAAACAAGATATTGCCTCCCTGTGAGCCTTAGGAGTCCCCTTTCTCACTCCTCAAACCAGAACTAGAGG